TTTTTTTTTTTTTGGCATAAACTTAGGGAGCAGTTTTTCTGTGTCACCGATTAAGGTCTGACTCATAGGAATGGGAGGTTCATAGTGTCTTGTGAAAACTGAGTTGTGCTACCAAGACTGTATTTTATCAGAAGTCTGTTCTACCTGGGAAGAAAGATGGGCTGAGAGAGCACTGTGGCCTGAAACAGGACTTTCTAGCCTTTTCTTGTCACATTTTAGTTTTTATCTGGTCTTCAAATAGAATGTTCTGCATATACTCTGCTTAGATGAACCCCATGGCTATGTACTGTGTGTTTACTTACAAACAGTCCATACAGTTCAAATCACTTCTGAGGAAGGATAAATTAAAAAGTAAATGTGGAGTTTACAGTGGACTTTATGTCAGTGTGTTCTGGTAACATATCAAGCCTGTCATTACAAAGGTAAGTTAGAGGAGAGATATTAAATATCATTCATGCTCCTGTTCCAAATCTTTTTCTTGCAAAGTCCAGAAACTGTTTTTCCAGTACTGGAAGACGTGACCCAATAAAGCTGAAGTCTTGAGAACATCCCCCTCTCTTCAAAGAAATGTTCTTGGAGGGTGGCCTGGATTGTTTTCTTTTAAGATTTTCTAGAGTGAACAGATGTAACAATTTTCTTTAATTTGCCTTGGTGCAGATGCTGAAAGAGAGCATTCACAATAAAATATATGCAGTATATGTAATTTCAGCTGGATGTTCTGGGGTTTTAACGTAAAAATGTGTACCTGCAAGCTGTTTTATGGCTTCTCAGTAATAATTATCTCTGTTACACAAAAGGCTACAACTGCAACTCCTCCTTCATGTGCAAGCTTTCCAAAAATATCTTGATAATTCTGCATATTCTGCAAGGCACTGCTTTCTTGCGTTTGGTTTGGGAAGTGTGTTAAAATGTTTAATTTTTCTTCGCAATAAATTTATGATGTAATCACATCAACAAGAAGGATGGTGGATAATCTTTGGAAGAAGCAGTTGCAAAAGGTATAGCAGTTAGAGTGGATCCTTGGGAAGTATGTTAAAATGTTTAATTTCTCTTTGCAATAAATTTATGATGTAATCACATCAACAGGAAGGATGGTGGATAATCTTTGGAAGAAGCAGTTGCAAAAGGTATAGCAGTTAGAGTGGATCTCAAGAAATACTGGCTGCAAAATAGCCTCAGCTAAAGTTATATACAGCATGACTGGAGATAGCACTTATTGATCACAATCTCGTTACTGGTAAAATGGGAGAAAGTAGTGGAGAAGGTGTTGAGGATTTTTAACAGCTGAAGCTTGCTCCCTTCTGCTGGGGAGCTTGTGCTTGTGGTGTTCCTCAGGGGATGAATAAGGAGAGGGGCTGGGGCATCACCGAGAAGCTAAACCCCCAGACAGTTGATGAGTGAATGCTCTGTTACATATGTCCTCAGCTCAGTGACTGACCCTTCCTCCATTTATCAGCCCAATTTCCTGACTACATTGTTTCTGCTGCACAGAGATGCGTTTTCCACCGTAACAACAACATGGACTGCTACTAATGCCCTTCATTACACAATACTTGTTGAGCACCTACAGCAAGTCGTTCAATACTGACCATTCGGATTCCACTGGTCCTCTCCACCCAACACGAACAAGAAGTTTTCTACCTCCACGACGCAGTGGTGGGCACTGTTGTATGGCATAACTGGAATTAAGAAAAAAAGACATGTGAAATTTTCCTTCTTAGGACTTGATACCTTGGCTCACTAGTTACCTGCATCACCAAAGTATATAAAATGTGAGACTAAGTCGGAAGGAAGAAGAAAGCATGGTCCCTGCGCAGTGGCTCAGAGGTGCGTTCCCAGTGGTTTCAAACCCAACCCCTTTTGATGAATTTTACATAATGTTATTCCACGAGCTAGTCAAGAACAACCTGTCATGCTGCTTTCCATTCTTAAGTTCTTCTCACCTGCCTGATGATGGGGATGGTGTTCTGGAACAGTGCCTGACACTCCCAAATGGTCAGGGCTGGGGGTTACTTCTCGGAAGAAGTAACCCTGAATACGCTTGGAGCCTTTAAGATGCTCTGCCCAAACGTGGTTTGCTGGCAATCTTTCCATAAACAGACTCAGGGTGCTTGGTAGCTTTCTATTCCACAGTGATGAGCAAGCTGCATTTCCATACAGTTTTAAGTTTTTAAATTAAGGTCCTGCTGATTTAATGCCTCCTCCAAATGTATACGCTTAATTTCCTATACAATGTCATTAGCAGCACAATCACACATTTTCTATCTATCTGCTTAGGAGCTCTTCTGTAACAAAGATGAAAACTGCCAGGAACATCACAAATACACATTCTCTTCTCCCTTCTCCCAGCTCAAATGTGGTGCCTCTGTGTGTGNATTTATCACACTGGCTGCTGTATGAAGAACAGACTCTAAGAGGCAAGCTGAGGAACTGTCTGAATGCCATTGCAATGGTCAAGGCAAGAGCTGCTGGTGGTTTGGATGAAGGCAGAGGAGGTGAGATGTGTTTGGGTTTGGGAACTATTGGACGGTCACAGCTGATGCAATTTCCTGAGGGACTGAATATTGGTATGAGAAGAAAAATTGAGTCAGTAAGGATGGCTGCCAGGTTTTTAGCCTGAGTAATTGGATGGAAAGTCATGCAATTTGCTGATGTGGGGAAGACAAGAGCGGAGTAAGTTGGAGGTTAGAGAGAGAAGTTACATGCTCTGTTTTGGACTCAGCCTTTAGAGACTTATAGGATCTCAAACTGGAAGTGTCTGATAGGCTACCAGCTAAATGAGGCTTCAGGTGCAAATTTTGGAGACATTATTCCAAATTCCATTATTATTTAAAACTATAGGACTGAATGAAACCACTTAGGGAGAGGCTACAAAATGGAAGATAATGGGTCCTGAAAATGAGCCGTGGAGTAGAAAAAGAAAAACCAGCAAAAGAAAGAAACTTTCATGAATATTCTTAATAATAAATAAATAAATTTTTAAAACAACAAAACAAGCCAGCAAACAAACAAAACAAATAAATAATAATAATAAGTCGAACTGTTAAATGGAGAGAAAATAACGATGGTTACTAGAGGTGGGAAAGAGGAGAGGGAGAGGGAGGGTAGTAAAAGGCTGATTAACAGACGCGAAAGTACAGCAAGATAGGAAAAATTAGCCCTATTGGTGTACAGCTGACCCAGAAATCTATAATCAATAATGTTTTACTGCATGTAACCAAACGACTAGAAGAGAGGAGATAAAAATATGCACATCACAAAGAATGATTTTTTTGCAATGATGACTATGAAAATTATCCTGAATAAACACACATTGTATACATGTAAAAAAAAAAAGAAAGAAAGAAACTTTCAGAGATAAGAGGAAAGTGTGGTATTTTGGAAGCCAAGTCAAATACTGTTTCAAAAAGAAGGGGATGAGCGACTGAGAATTGGCCATAGGATTTGGCCACATGGAGACTGTAGGTTGCCTTAGCAAGTGTTGCTTCATTGAACTGGGGGAAATGAAAGCCTGAGAAGGGACTGCTCAGGAGTGACCAAGATGTAAGAAAGCAGAGGTAGGAGGACAGGCAGTGCTTCTTAGGACTACTGCAATAAAAAGATGACAGCTGTAGGATGCAGCACTGAGGGAAGCTTTGTTTTGTTGTTAAGTTCAGAAATACCAGCAAAATCCCTATAATCCTTAAACTCTGCTCTGAATGGTTTCTTTCACTCCTTTTCTACTCAAAACCTGGCTGTCTGAGAGAACTGCTTTCCTAGCTACCATTCCTAATGGGGGCTGGATTCCCCCATTCCCCAGAGCATCAGGTGGGAGGGTTTGGATGGTCATGCTGGGTGGTAAATTAAGTTTTATCTGTGGATTTACAGATAGAGATAAGAGTGTCAGGGTCTGAGGATGACCCAGAAGGCTTGGATTTCACATAGGAAGGCTCTAACTCAAGGAAGGATTATGTCTATAGTTGGGTTATACTCCATCCCATAACAGAGCTCCTTCAGTAAAAACTGTGTTGGCTCCTATTTACCGTTAGGGGTAGCACTGTTTTAGAAAATGCAAAACATTATTTTAGCCCCAAATTTAGGATAAAATAAAATTATAACTAAGATTGCAGACATTGTTTTGGTACTTCTATTTTCTGTGCAGTCAGTTCTGTGAGTATTTTTTCTGGTTTCACAACTGGTATTGTGTTTTATTTCTTTCAGGGAGCTAGCTCATGAGCTAGGATATCCCTGGGTTGAATACTGGGAATTTCTGGGCTGTTTTGTTGATCTGTCTTCCCAGGAGGGCCTGCAAAGACTAGAAGAATATCTTGCTCAGCATGAAATGGGCAAAAAGTCTCAACAAGAAACAGGAGAAAATGAAGCCTGCTGCCCAGATAAAGCCTCCAGCTCTGGTAAGCAAGTGTGGGTAGGTCTGTGGCGGGTGCAATTGGCCCTCTCCTGTGGCCGCAGTACAACAGGAAGCATACATGTTTCTCTTCTCTACTTACATTTTTAATGTAAAAATGGTGTACTTGTCCTTAGGCTAATGTTTAAAGGGGTGTGGGTGCAGGTGTGTGTATGGGAAATACAGTTTCACTGCAAACAGCATTTCCATTTCTGGTTTCATCTGCATTACCCAAAGTTGAGGAAAGCTTCACTCTGTGCTGTGTTCCCAAAACTTTTAATAGCTGAATTTCACTGGCTGAGTCTCTATAATTTTAGGTCTGACATATTTTCAGGAAAATGACAAGGAGGACACATACCAGAATGCTGTTGTATATTTATTAGATGTCAAGGTGCAAGGTACTTCAGAAGCACAAAAGCAGTGAATGGAAAGATCGTGATGGAAAAGGTTAATTTGACAACATAAAACTTTTAAACGTAACCATTAAAACATCAACAACATATGAAAAAGGAAAATATAGAGAGTAAGAAGACAAAAATATCCCAAAAGTGATATGGGCAAATGAGAGGAAATTCTCCAAGGGAAATAAAAGGACGTTATCTCACTAGTAATAA